AAAAAAAAACAAGGAAATATGTGTATTTTTATGTTTAGGTTTGATGAGTTGTCAGTAATGCACAATTATAATTGGACAAAGGTGATATGATCTAATTATAATGAATTGTGGGGGACTTAACAAACCCTGTTTGAGAGTTTTCTTGGAATCCCGGTCTTCTGCTCATTTCTTCAAGGTGTATGGAGGAATCCTCTGGAAAGAGGGACTTGTGCAAGCTAGGCAAGTGCTTTACCACTGAGCTATACCTAAACCCTCTTTTGGCCTGCTTCAGGGGAGGTGAGTAGGAACATGTCAAAAAGGCAACACCTGTTCTTTCCTCAAATGCCAGCATACCACATATTGGGGTAGAATTCTGATTTGCATCAGAAGACATGAAGAAAATTTAAATCTGCCATAATATGATTTTGAATTTAATCATAGGAGAAATTATCCTTAAGGAACACTAATAGATAGTAGGCATGTAAAACATTACCATGGTTCTGAGAGTCAGAAAAGTGTTATTCTTCCAGCATCCCTTCTACTATACCTTATCCCCCAATTCTTTCTAACCTGTTTGTCTCAATTCCATGTGGGTAACTCTATTAATAAAGATACATATAAAGTTTACATGTAAACCATTTTTAAAAGAATAGTTCAGTGTTATTAAATACATTCATAATGTGCAAGCATTACCATCATCCATCTCCACAACTTATTTATTTTTGTGGTACTGGGAATTGAATCCAGGGCCTAAACAAGGCAAGCACTTTACTACTGAGTTACATCCCCAGCCTTTTATTTTGAGGCAGAGTCATGCTTAATTGTCCAAACTGACCTTGAACTTGTGGTTCTCTTGCTTCAGCCTCCTGAGTACCTGGAACTACAAGATTATGCTTCCCTGTCTAGCTATAATAGTTTTTTTGGTTTTGGTGAAACCGAACCTTTGTAACTCATTATAAAATAATATCTCATTCCCATCTCCCCAGCCCCCTGGAAACCACTATTTTACTTCTTCTCTCTATAATTCTGACTTCTTTGAGTACCTCGAATGAGTGGAATCATATAGTGTTGGGTTTTTGTGTGGCTGCTTTAGTTTATTTAGAGAATGACATCAAGATTCATTAACACCTCAGAATTTTCTTTCTCTTTAATAAATGGGATTGTGTATCTTAAATTGAAAAGGTTCTTTGTATATTCTGCAAAAAGTCTTCTGTCAGATATATATTTTGCCAATACTTTCTCCTTTAGTAGCATTAAAATTTCATAACAATCTCTTTTTTTTAAGTATTTTTTAGTTGTAGTTGTCAATGCCTTTATTTTGTTTATTTATTTTTATGTGGTACTGAGGATCAAATCCAGGGCCTTGCACATGCTAGGCGAGCGTTCTTTCACTGAGCCACAACCCAACCCCTCATAACAATCTCTTTTAAGAGGAAAAGATTTGCCAGGCAAGGTGGCACCTGCCCTAATCTCAGCTACTTGAGAGGCTGAGGCAAGAGGATAACAAATTCAGGGCCAGCCTGGCAATTTAGTGAGACCTTGTCAAAAAATAAAAAGTATGAGGGGCCGGGAATGTAACTCAGTGGTAGAGCACCCTTGGGCTCAATCCTCAGGACCTAAGAAGGGAGAAAAAAGAGRAAACATTTTTATTTTATTTTATTTTTTAGATTCTCCATATTTCCCTTTTGACAATACAGACCAGGCACAGGGCCTGGGCTGAGGTGTATGTGGTCTAGGCCTCTTCTTTCTATACAGTCAGTGTAAGAACACAGCCTGTGTGTGGTAAGTCCAAAAGATTTTAATTTCAATGTAATCCAAATGTCAATTTTTTTTCTCTTACAGTGATTCTTTTTTTTTTCTTCTTTCATTTGTTCTTGTGTTATATTCAATAAATACCTGACTAATGGGAGTTTACTAAATTTTTCTTCTGGAAATTTTAAAACTTTAGGTTTTACGTTTAGGTCTGTATTCCACTTTAAGTAAATTTTTATATGTAGTGCGTTGTCAGGGTCAAGATTCATTATTTGCACATGACTATCCAATTGCTCTTGCCTGTGTTGAATGGATTAAGTGTTCAACTTTGAGGTCTTTTTTTAGCATCTATGGAGATAATCATGATTCTTTTCTTAGACCTATTAGTGTGGTATATGTTATCAACAATATTCTTAATTTTTTAATTTTAATTTTTTAGTTGTACACAATACCTTTATTTTGTTTATTTATTTTTATGTGGTGCGAGGATCGAACCCAGGGCCTTGCACATGCTAGGCGAGTGCTCTACCACTGAGCCACAACCCAGCCCAACAATATTCTTAATTTTGAAGAAACAATGCATTCTGAAAAAATCCCACTGTGTTAGTTTATTAATTTTAAAATTTTGTTGTTAGATTCTGTTGGCAGATTTTTTATTTCATATCTTTGCATTAATATTCATAGCTGACTTTGTTATATAATTCTTCTTTTTCTACTGTTTTTTTCAGGGAATGATGTCAATATTATATTTTCTTTTTTAGAAGGAATTAGGAAGTCTTGTTTCATTTCAAGTGCTTTTAGTCATTTTTCATCTTTAAAGATTTGTTTGAAGAAGAAGATTAACATTAAACAGGGATGAGAGGTGGGAGGGAAAGGGAGAGAGAAGGGAAATTGCATGGAAATGGAAGGTGATCCTCAGGGTTATACAAAATTACATACAAGAGGAAGTGAGGGGTAAGGGAAGAATAATACAAGTGGAAGAAA